GTATTCTGTTAGAACTCAATGATTATCTTAATTATATTTTAGATTTTTTATATTTAAAATGAGATGTTTATCCTGTATTTGATTGTGTTTATCTGCATTTAGTTACACAAATTCAGATATGAAGCTTTAATAAGTTGTACCTACGCACAATTTACTTGTAATCTTGAGTTTTTAAGTAATATGCATTAATAAACAGTACTTTACGCATAAAAAATGGTTTTTAACAGTTTTTGTCAAATGATTTATAATATAGAATATATATTTTTTATATAATTTAATTTAAGTTTAATAATAAAATAATTTATTTTTGGTTTAATATTATAAATTTTATAAAGATAATAATTAATTATTATGTTAGAATTTAATTATTATACTAATTATATTTTAGATTTTTTATATTTAAAATGAGATGTTTATCTTGTATTTGATTGTGTTTATCTGCAGTTAGTTACACGAATTCAGATATGCGATGAAATCGGATAGGAATGAACAAGTTTAAGAGTTTTTAAGAGTTTTAAGAGTTTTATCCAAATGTTTTATAATATAGTATAGATATACTACGAAAATTACGTATGAATTTTAATAAATATTCTAAAAAATTACATACGAATATTTATTAATATAGTATTAAAATAATGTATGAATGATTATAACTTTTTTTAAATATTCAGATGTTTCTGTCATTTTTAACTATTATATGACAAAAAAGAATTAGATATCATTTAAAGACAATTTGGTGATTTTAATACTTTTGTCATGTTTTGTCTGACTTATCGATTAAGCATTACACAAACAAAAAATTTAATCATATCTAGTCATATGAGACATCAAACAAGCAAATAGTTGAGTCCAATTCTATCCAACTCATCCAATCTAGTTCAATTTTTTTTTTATTAACCTGGATATCCAACCCGCTATACGAGCTGACTAATTCCAAGACGATCTTCTGCTTTGCAGATAGCCCAAAGTCACCGCATTTGAACCTCCGTGACCACAAGGGAATTTTTATTCCTTTTTTGGATTTGACAATCTAGTTCAATTTACATAACAAGACCATCATAAAGTCTCCCTTTTGCTTCACTAAGTTCACACCATGCATACTTTGGTGGCTATAAATTCATACATTGACACACATCTCTTTGTATACCACCCACTCAACTCAACAATCATGAATAGAGCCACCACCCTTTGCTTCATGCTTGCCCTTCTCTTATCCTCCATGCTCTCCTTTGCCACCTCTTCCATTCCTACTTCTCTTCCAAACCCCACCATCACAAAATCTGAAAACAAGGTAATCTCTGATGTTAAATTGTTTATACTGATTAAATCTTGAAAATCGACACTGAAATGTCAGTTTGTAGAAGTAAGTTTCATAGGAGGTCATTAACTGAATGACGTTGTTTTTTATGTATATTGTAGGGTGTTGAAGAAAGTTGCGAAGGGGTCGGGAGAGAAGAGTGCTTGATGAGAAGGATACTTGCTGATGCTCATCTTGACTATATTTACACCCAAGATAAAAACCCTTGAATAAAGGGTTCGTCTAACGTTCGGATGTTGTGGATTACATTCACTGAATGATGCTTAATTTATTCGACACCGTTGCAATCTTAGTTCCTATGTATGAAAACCCATAAAAGAAATGAATGAATATCTTTAGCTTGCATCTCACGTCTCAACAAACTCATGAGATCCTAAAATTTAAATGTCAGACAAACACTATAATAGCATCAGGGGACACGTTTAAGATTTTTCTAAGTATTCAAAATACCAAAATCACTTTGATTTTATTAAACGTATATTTGATAAATAGTTAAACCTGAATGTCGCATTTATTTTGAGATGTATGAAATATTATCTTTTAGGATTTAAATTCAAAAAATAAAAACTATTCCATTTCAAATTTGGAGTTAAAAGTGCGTGTTTCTGTCTCTGTTCATTGGTACAAATAGAATAACCTTGATCTTGTGTTTACTATAGATTTTTATTCGATGTTGCCTTTTTATGCGTTTTAATATAGAGAATAAGTTGCATCAATTTGTTTTACGAAATCAGATCCAACTTTGTTGTGAAAAATTAGTTTTCTGATGTATTTTTTTCATCAAACAAAAGAATAATAAGATCTAATGAACATATAAGATTTTAACGAAAAGAAATATTTTAACGATAAATATCAAGTACGATTCATGAGTGGGTTTGAGATTAAAAGTGATAAAGGGTCCAGATCATTTCGTATGTTTCTTATCTTAACTCTCATTCTCACACAATAAGTTACTAAAATATATATGTGTGTGTATATCTATACTATATTATAAAGCATTTGATAAAAACTCTTAAAAACCATTTTTTATGCATGAAATATTGTTTATTGATGCATATTACTTAAAATTCAAAATTACAAGTAAATTGTGTATAAGTACAACTTATTAAAGCTCTATGTTTGAATTTGTGTACTGCGGATAAACATAATCAAATAGAGGATAAACATCTCATTTTAAAATATAAAAAATCTAAAAATATAATTAGGATAACAATCGAGTTCTAACAAAATAATTAACTATTATCTTTATAAGAAAATTATCTTACTAAACCAAATATAAATTACTTCGTTATTGAACTTAAATTAAATTATAATTAAAAATTTTGAATTAAAAAATTACACAAAAATATGAATTTTAAATAGTTAATTTGATACTAATATCGATATCATTTTGTCAAATTTTTATAATATCTTTAAATTTATATTTTATTCAAAAATAAAATCATCATCGTTTTTTCAAAATCACATGAGATCATATTATAACATCGATTGAGATAAAAAAAATATTAAAATTAAGATGTATCTCGCTGCATTACATAAATACCCTTCTAATATATATATATATATATATATATATATAATATATACAGATTGTCGTTATAAGTTATGTTTTAAAACAATTTAGAAGACATATATATATATATATATATAATATATACAGATTGTCGTTATAAGTTATGTTTTAAAACAATTTAGAAGACAAGTGGGCCTTGAGATAAAACAATTTAGGGGTTGTTTGTTTGGCTCTTAATGGTTACATTAAGAGTCAACCTCTTAATCGCTAAGAGGTTAGGTCTGTTTGGCAAAAAAAAAAAAACAACCCTCTTAATAGTTACAATAACCTCTTAATTATTTTGCATCTACTACCTCACTAAACCATTCAGATGTTTATTTTTCCAACTATGCCCTCTCTCCCGTCATCCTCACACATCGCTCACAGCCCCTCCCCCACCCTACAATCGCCGCAGCCTCGTCTCCGGTCGCCTCGTCGCCTCGTCTCCGGTCGCCTCGTCCTCTCCTGTCTAGGGTTTGCATCAAGTCGCCTCTCGTCGCTGCCGCTCGTCGCCGCCTCACGTTGCCGCTTCGTCGCCGTCGCCTCGTCACCTTCCACAGCCTCACGTCGCCGCTTCGTCGCCGTCGCCTCGTCACCTTCCACAGCCTCACGTCGCCGCTTCGTCGTCGTCGCCTCTCCTGTCTAGGGTTTGCATCTCGTCACTGYTGCGTCCTCTCCTGTCTAGGGTTTGGTTTAGGGAATTTAGCATTTTTCTTTGGAAATTGATGGTGTTTATTGCTAATTTCATGTTTGTAACAATGTTAATGATGATTGGATTACCGACATTTTGCAATTTCTTGAGGATTTGTGATATTGATATGAAGAACATCATCTTTTTTATAAAAAAATGTTTAGAATTGATTGTATTTCTTGAGGGTTAAAATGGTAATTTGCTGTCATTCAGAGAACAATTACCAAACAACTTTGTTTCATTCGGCACTTAATCATTCTGACCCTCTTAGCCATTCTAACCTCTTAGCTATTCTGAACTAAATCATTCAGCAACTGCTAAACAGCCCTTATAGTTTTGGATAAAATAGGTATCTAGATTATTGAGTCGAATTAGGCCAATACGAATGGGCCTTGAGCTAGGGTTCAACAAATCCTCCAAGATCCATTTAGAGTTTCCACCTTTGATATCCAGTGATCGCATACCCATTTCGGTTTCTGAAACTTGAAGAATCGCAGAAGACGAGAGAGGATTTTTGGTATATAGTAGAGGATGTTCAATCGAAGGAGGTTCCTCTCGCTTCCCATGGTTATCGGAGCTGTCGTGTAAGTTTTTCTCCTTATCTGGATCTACACTTTGCTTTCATGTCTATATTCCTCAATTTCATGTTGAACTCGATTTTCCCTCTTCGAATTCTATTTATTTGCCTCTTCAATTCCGTTTATGTAATTCAAATTGATGATTAGACCTATGATATGAATGTTACACTTGATTATAAGCTCATCTGTTGAAATCAAATGCTTGGCAATTGATATGTGGGAAGTAGCGAATTACTATATTAATCAAATGAAATAAATCTATGTGGTGGATTTTCTATTGCTCAAAATGAGATGTTTGATTATTTGTGGCTAATTGTTGTATTCAATTGCATTTGTTCTCTAGAATTTTAGTTTGAATGTAAAACCCTAAATATGACTCACTTGAACCTTAGCAAGTATTTAGCTTGGTTGGACAATGGCTGGTTGGATAATGGCTTCTTGGACAATGTATGAAGACCTGACCTCTCCCTTGAATAGTAGAGTGGTGGCATACTCTCGGCTTGTGCAAAGTGTGCGAAAAACGATACAACATGGTCATGAAATTTGCCGAAAGAAACTTGAAAACACGAAAGGTAGTGCTAAAAATTGGAAAAGAAGCAAGTAGCGGCAGTCAAAATAGACAGACAAACGACAAACGGAACATACAGATAGAAGCAGGTACAAGAAAACACAATAGCTACACATTGGTTTTAGCAGGACCTTCTTGTCACACAGCACCATGTGACGGCCTCCCACTTTAGCCATGTCATCCTCAATCTCGCCGCCCTTCTGAATCGTAGCCAAGAAATTTGAAACTATCCTTTTGGGGTTATGTTTATGAGTAGTCCTGAATTGTCATGAACAGGGTAGTGTAATAGTTCTGAATTGCATTTGACTTGTAAATTTGTTTGAATTTCTTCATAATAGGTTATACAATAAACTAACGAGTCCGATTGTCTGTTCTATTTTAGGATTGGCATCGTCTCTGGAAAAGCCATCTTTGGACCTCCGGTGGATGAGTACTGGAAGAAAAAGCTCGACCAAGAGGCTGCAGCAGCAGCAGCAGCAGCAGCTGCCAAAGACACCGATTCACCCTCCTCATCTTAAACTCATTTTAAACCCAATACACCGAGTTACAAGCTGCTTCAACTCGCACAAATCAAATTGAAGCTCGTCAAATGTCTGATGTGGTGCATGTGAGCTCATATCCACACAAACTTTTGGAACCATAAATAGCCTCTACAAAGAACTTGTTGTCTCTACTGACTGCTAAATTGTATTCATTATTCTTTTCGAGCATTCTCCGGGTTCATGAAGCATCAAAGTTGTAACTTGACCTTTATTGATAAATTTCAGTTTGGTTCGATGCCTGAAACCGCAAACCATAACATTTCATGTAACATTCCAGGCCAACCATACTAGATATTGTCTGTTTTGTCGATACTTGACTCACAGTTTTAAAATGTCGGGAAGAGGAGATATCCATAGGGCCCGTTTGTTAAAGAGCTTAATTGACTCATATTCGGTCAGCCATCCATAATTGTTAGAGAAGGACATAATGATATAGAAAGTGTCTTATGCAGTAAGTTTCTATGCGGGTGTTATGCAAAAGGCCAAAGTGTTTTTTCGAACCTATCCTTCTCAATTAAAAAACTCGTTCATTCCGTCTATGAAAAAGTTCTTCCAAAGAAAAAAAAATTAATTTACATAGACGGATTAATCTACACTGACAACTTAATCCATTTAGGACTCGAAGGAAAACCAACCAAACAGCCTTGTAATTCCCCTTCCCAACTTATGAGACAACTTTAGTTCCACTTCTGGGATCTTACACTTTGAGGTTCGAAAGCAACTCGAATACATTTCAAGACTGAAAAACATGAATTGTAACATACAACAGGTCTAAAAGAAATGGGTCAAAACCTTATTTCTGTTTCACTCTTTTCGACTTGTTTGAATTCATTCCCCTGTTTCTAGATTCATCATCAAGACTACTTTTTGAGCCACCCTCGAAACTCTGCAATGGCCGATACTTAACTTTCGATAACCGCTCCTTTGTTGCTTCAAGTCGACTCTTCTCATCTTTTCGAGCCTTTAAAAACCCAGAAATTTGCTGCATACAAAGCTTAATCTCCATCTCTAACGCATTCATTCTGAAGTCGACTGGTACACTACAATGCTCAACGATCTGCTTTTGCCTGCTACGGATCACCTGCGGTTGCCACACCTTCAATGCCGTTGAAGCTTCCCTTACTTTCCTTAAGTTATTTAGTTCAATGATTGCAGTTTTATTTTTCTCCTTCTCTTCTACCAATTGAAGCTGTATCTCCTGTAGCTTCCTTTCGTGTTCAAGAATTTGAGATTCAATTCTAAGAACAGCTCTTCGTTCTGCCAAAAGTTTCTTGACTCTGTCTTTCTCGAATCTGATTTGGTAGAGTGATTTGGGAGACGGGTGGTCGGTGTAAGATGAAGGGTGTGCAGGGTAGTCGGAAGACAGTAACTTTGACCACACGGTCTCTTCGTTGGAAAGATGATTAAGGCGTCTACAACTCATGGAAAGACAGCAAAGATCTTTGTAGCTCAAACATGAAGATTCAACTCCCAACTTCAAAATCCATCTCCATAACTCATCTGGTAAAGACATCTCCAAACCCTGTAGAAGATAAAAAATCTTTAAGAAATAAGCACAGAAAGACGATAAAAACCCAAAAAAGAGAGGGAGTGTGTTTAAGTAGAAGAAAAACCATTAGCAGGGAGCAAAACAAAGCTTAATCAACTCCCTATCTAAGAAAATAGTGCCTTAATCGTGTTTTCTTGCCAAAACCTGCATAACCTCCACAATGGAAGCCCTTGGAACCCTAACAAAAACGTTAACTTTTGGGCAGGTGCTTCAAACTATTCCGAATTTGATCACAGAAAAACCTATTTCAAGCTCTGAAATCATCCCTGTTAATCTCCTAAATTCAGCTATTCAAGCTAAATCACCTAGAAACTTCATCTTCTTGACCACCACGAATTGAAAGCCCTATAATTTCTCAATTGGTAGAACCATAACCATTTTTTACAGCTCCGAATCCATACATACAAACAATTCTAAAGAATTTCCACAAAATTTAGGGTTTTTTTTTATTATGAACCAATTAGGTGTGCTTCATAAGTGTTTGATCTATGAACTGCAGTTACTAGAAACCAAATTATAAATATAATATTGAAATTCATGTTCGATTGAGTATTCGCGAACCTGGAGAAAAAAGGCGATCGCAGAGCGTTACTTCGGCCGACGAGGAGTCTTCTCCGCACGAACATTCCGACCATGGCACGGTGGAAGCATACATTTATATATCTCCATTAAATTTCATCCGAGCCCCCTGAAGTTTGGAAATTTTCATACTCACCCCTACACTTTGCAAAATTATGTATCCATAGTCCACCACAATTGTATTCTGCCTTGGCTTCTTTTATGTGACTATGCTTTAACAAATTATGGATTTAGAAAACCGCTTACTAAGATAATCGAGGATGTTTTTTTAAATGTACATTATAATGTTGTTAAAGAAAACGTGGATTTTACGGTTGTCTTTTTTATAAACATAATAGTTATTATTACATCATATGTATGTGTGACTGAAAAACTTAGAGAAAGAAAATAGGAATGCTTGAAATACCGATCAATCTAACCTGAAAAAACTTAAAAAATCTCAACCTGATGTATAATTGATACAAAATTAAACCAAACCACATTTATTGGGTTGGAATTGAGTTGGGATATTTGAACTCAACCTAACCCGACGAACCCGATGTTTTTTCTTATTTGCATGAAATTTCAACATTTATTTGAGTCAATTAACTTTTTTTTATATGTTCTCATTTTGATTTTATTTCGTTTAGATAAAACGTTTAGCTAGATTATAAAATGGTGTGCCGACGATTCAATCCGACCAACCTGGCTCAACGTTTAGCCTAATTTAAATTGTTTATTATAATTGATTCATTGAGTAATAGTAGAAAACATGTGTTTATATATATAATATTATATATGTATAGAAATTGTCATCATAAATCACGCATTGAAAAACGCCGTGATTTCACCGTGGCTTCCAAAACTTGAGGCTTAGACACGCCAAACGGTATTTAAAACCTTATTCCACATCAACCCCACCCATGTATAATCTCGATAGATCCATCTCAAATTTTTTAATCTAAAGTATTTTAATTATAATTATTTTTTAATCAAATAAACTATATAAAAAAACGAATATTTTATTCTCTTTAATTTAATACCTCAATCGATATCTATTGCTTATAATTTTTTAACCGACTTTTCAAAACCACATAAAAATTTATTGAGAGAAATAAATAACAGAAACAGAACATGAATCAAGATTAAACGTAAAGAAATCTCTACTTCAAAATCAAGACATATCATTTTACTGAAGTACTCACATTTATGATTGTGTATATTTATGGTATCAACAAATGGACCCTTTTTATCCTAAAATATGAGAACAAATATTTTCAAAAAAATTCAGTAACCTTCAAAAATACAACTTTTTTTAAGCATACTACACTTATACACACACAAATCTTCACACACATTTCTCATATTTGATGGGTTATAAAAAGTTGACTATGAAACTGGAAACTTCTCATTTGAAAATTGAATCATAAAGCTACTGAACAAGATAAAGCATGAATCATCTTATTGTGCCACATTCATATCCAGACCATTTATGTACATGTGTAGCAATTCCAATTTCCAAAGGCCATAATTTAGATTTGCAGAAACTGTAAATTAACAAGATATTCACAACAGACACCAACAATACACAAATAATTCATTCACAACGAATAGAAAACATCATCATCATCATCATCATGCCACATCAATGTCATCAACATCAAGCCAATCATTAGATTCCTTCATCTCAGAGTTATGAGCACTTACCTGTCCAGCTCCACCGGTCGAAGACGAATCAGCCGAGCTTCTACCCAGCTGAACCCAATCTCGTGAGTCTTTCGTTGACGAATCAGAACCGTACGCAGCTGTTTTCTTGTAACTTGTTGGTGCATCTCCATCGTCCTCCTCAAGATCACTGAACGATACATCCTCATCGTTCTCGATTGGAATCGTGGTTGTACCAGTGACGTTTTCTGAGCTATCTTCTTTCAACCAATCATCGGCATCATCTTCATCTTTAGATTCATCGGTTTTGGTCTCATTTCGTGGTTCTTCTTGGATGACAGATTTGTCTACAATTTGAACTTCTTCATTTGGGATGGGGTGTTTTTCGGTCTCTGAATCAGCTGAGATGGTAGATGTGGCTGTTGGCTGACTTGTGGATATTTCAAGTGGTACAGATTCTGATTGAGTACCAGATGGCACAGAAGGATGCTCGTCTAGAGAAGATGCAGAATTGATTCTTGTAACTTCCTCCTCTTTTGTCTGTGAGTTGGAACGGCCCTTCAACTCGCGTGTCAATGAGGCTCTTGCTTTCACAATCTGCATAAAAGTAAATAAGTTGTAGTTCAGATCGTGAATGGAATTGTTTCTATCACAATCTGCTGCCTAGATAGATCATCAATATCTCCTACTTGCTTGATATTTAGTGGGGACTCTCTTCGTCCCAAAATAAATGCCAGATAATGAAAAAAAAAAGAGTTTTAGAAAGGTGAGATTATTACACTTTTTAATTAAATAAATGACAATTTCACCCCTTAATAATAGAGGGGGTAATGAATTCTCCATCTCATAATTAAGGGTAGAATTGGGAAGTAGAAGCTTACTTTGAAAGTGGACACCTATTTGGGGACAAAGTAAAATAGAACATATGAACACTTATTTTGGGACGGAAGAAGTACTATAATTCTTTTTCGAGAAGAGTGGGAGGGGGGAATCCACAATACATGTTGCATGCTATATAAATACATGAGACACAGCTCTCCATACTTGAAAATGCAGTGCCAGTTGTTAACTCTGGCCCTAGCATCAAACAGCCCAGACCCACCATATGACTCACTGGGGTATGTAGTACTTGAGAAGACTTTAAGAGGGCGTTTGGTTTGATGGAACGGTTTTGAGGGATTTGGATTTTGTGGAAGGATTTGCAACTGAAGGGACTTGAATTTGCAAAGATTTGGAATCTTTGGTGTGTCTCCAAATATCACAAAAATAATGGCAATGAATCATCATTCATGTGTCTCCAAATATCACAAAAATAATGGCAATGAATCATCATTCATCCTTGAAGAACTACCTTGTGAGAAGATATCAAATGTGAGGCTAAATAGCGCATACTACATGAGTACATGGAAAGTCGTTCATTGATGATCAGAACTATTCAGGTAGTTGAGGATACCAAGTTGAGCATTGGATCAAGAAGTTGAAAGAATGCCAAGGTACAGAGAAAAGCATGACAAGTTCTTGGCCATCTTTATTCATATTATTTTTCCAAATATGTGGAGATCCATATACCGCATAAATCGCAAATATTATTCCAGTACGCCTCCAACTCCCTTACACCCTGTTATTAGTACCATGCTATCTGACACCTTTTGTCTAACCAGTTACCAGTCCACAAGATCAATCACAAGATCAATGCAAAGCACCCGTCGACATAGCCCAGACAAACTTTTGGCCTTCCGGCCAATAGGCATGGCCTAAAAAATTGATAGCAGCTGTAGGTAGGAGAAGGCCTCCAGGTTATTCTCCTACAAAGAAGGGGGCCGAGGCAAAGAAGAAGGAGGTGCTTGGTCAGAAAGAATGGTTTGCCTCTAAAGTTCATTTCGACAATATTAATTTGAACCCTTCAAGTCTCTTCAATACGATTCCCTCTTATGTTAGGTGGACTTAATCCTATAAAAATCACTAGTTCTGACAACTATAAGGCCTTTCTTTGCTACTTTTGCACTTTGACAAATATGTTCAGAGTTTTGCATCATGTAGCCAAACAAGTGGTTAGAAATGTCAAACATCCTTGAGAAAAATTGAACAATAATGTTGCCAAGATAAAATATATTGGTAATTATCAAACCATAAGTGAGACAGAAAAAATATCACAATTGATTTTGCTGACAGAAGTATAAACCCACTTGCTGAATGCTGAAGAATTCAAAAACAAAAAAGTGAGATCGTGAAATTATCCATATAGTACAGCTAAGAAGACCAAAACATGTATGTGAAGAGGAAAGAATGCAACCAGAAACTATGCCTTTATGCACTACAGTTGTAGTGGCTAATAAATTTCATCTTTTCATGAAAAGCCATCAAATAATTTTGCATGAAAAACTCGAACTGCCACGTGCTCCATTATTTATAACCAATGAAGGTCTACCTTTCTGACAGCAGACAACCGTTGATGAGATTTCCGTATAATATCGAGACCTACTTATCAACTAATGAACTAAAAATTATGATGTTCTCCATATATATGGAAACAGTATTCAGGGTATCTCGCATGACAGTAGTTCTCAAGGAAGACCTCCCTGCACACAACCCCTGCGGATCCTTAGGAGTTAGGATGTCCTGCATGTTATGTGTTAACCACCATACCCTGAATACTACTACCCACTTTTATAATGGGTGTTGCTTGTTCTAGGCAGTATAGGAAAGAACAAACATCAGAGAACAACACATTCAGAACTATGGTCACTTCTGATTATATACTTGCTGGCAGAAGCCAGATGATTCCCTACATGTAGCTTCAGGATCAAAACCATTCTGAGAACTTAGAAAATATTGAATCAAAGTTGAAAGGACAATGTCAATGAAGATGGAATTAGGTAAGACATCACAACCATAGCATGCTTCAAAATATGGGCAATAGCTGCCACTGTTGCAGTGCAGCTATAGAACATGTGAAATGAAGCATGCAATATGCATGTCGTGAACTCATGATAAGTAAGATGAAGGTCCACTAAATCAAGACGTGCTAGTGCTTGCACTATCAGTTTCTTGGAGAAGGTGTAAAAGCACATTTCACTAAATACTCTGGAGTAAAATAAACCTCCATAAGGGACCTGCTAAGGTTATCTTAAGATCATTCTAATTGTCTTCATATAGCTATAGCAACAGAATTTAGCAGAATAACAGTACAGGAAAATAAAACATGGCATGTAAACATCATAAGCAACAAATGGATGTTATTGTAATAAATAAATACACACATTATGTGCTTAACTAGAGTATCTTTTGTATCATCCAAGCATGTACCTTATAGTAGAATATAGAATCTGCACCATATATATATTATTATCACGTATATCAGCATTAAGTTGAGAATATTTCTGGAAATTTTGTGGATTACAAATTATTTGGGTCCATGACTAGAAGTGGAGTCCCTCAAAATCATTAAAATTTATAAGAAAAATATTTAGAGGAAATGTAAGTACGCGACGATTGCTTTCTAGAAAACTTACCTCAGGTGTTGAAAGAAGTTCAGCAGCATGAGGTTCAAGTCTTGGATGCAAGAGTACAAAATATATCTTCCAGAATGAACTTTCACTCATATAACCAGGGCATAGTTCAATCCTAAGAGCAGCCAATCTTGGTGCCAAACTTTCAACAGCCAAAGCATGCTCTTGTTGTGCATCAGACAACTCAAAATCTGGAATAGACAGAAAAGCAGGTATCACTAATAGCAAATTCTTATTTATGTGTGAAGATTTTATCATAAACTCGGTGATACAACCTCAGAGGATTAGCAAGTAACAAATGTGTGTTCACGTAAATGAATGAAACATATGAAGGAATAATGTTCGGAGAATGAAGCTGCAATTGACGAGGCTCCACAAAGAGGAAAATTCTTGCGCATCATGTTGGTTTTCCTAACCCCATGATGAGGGTTCTCTTTTATTTTCGAAAATCAACCGAGGTGCAATCCAGTTATCAAAGTCCAAACTGTTTCTATCGCGATATTATATTAATTAATTAATTTCCCTCACCAAGAACGTTTATAAACAATTTTGAAGTTTAAATGCAACTCATTGCACACTTAATAGTCAAAACTGGATTGGACAAGACCATTAAGGGTTTTTATTGGAATTCAATGATGCAAGAGAAAGATTAGCACTACGGAATACGAAGGAAACAATCTCTTCTTTACCAACATAAGTAATAATTACAACATGCTGCTTACCACAATGAAAAACTTTGCAAACTGCATAGGCAACAAGTATCACCAGGAACCAACGTTTAAGCAAGTAATGCATGATATAGGAACATCCAATTAAAAACCAGAGGTTACACTATCATCATGAACAGACAAGACTTGAAACATAAATTTACCTTCATCATCGTCTTCATCCTCTGGTAAAGGAAAATCCAACCAAGTCTCAGGATGCATCGTGATATCCCTAACAAAGGCCAAAACTACATCCGTAACACCAATGGCATCAGCATCTTTAGACAAAACATAGTCGTCACCCTCCGGTGACAGTTGAAGAAAACTCGAAGCCATTTTCGTGATCTCCGATACATCTATATTAGTAGACAGCTTCGAAATTCCACTACGGAACCTCCCTCCGATCTCCGCAAAGTCCCTGCGTATTCCAGATATCGCTTCCGGAGAAGCATCTTCCGGATCGGACGGATCCGATTGCTCGTTAGAGTGTTCAGCGGGAGGCGGAGGAGCGAGAAACGAGGCGACGCCCCAGAATTTACTAGTTAGGGTTTTTGTGATCTCTGATAAATCTTCTTTGACACCTCGTCCTGGAGATAAAGACGAATCGTCTTCTTCAACTGGTTGTTCACCTTTTTGATCGGTGGACAGATCTCGGTCTGTGTTGTTGTGTTGTTCGTCGTCCTCATCGTCATCGATGTCGAGTTGGAGGGTGTTGGCAATCGATCGAGCGAACCATGACATTGTGGAATCGGAAGTTTCGGATCGCCGGCGGAAATAGTTCAATCGGAAAACAGGGATAGGGTAGATCCGGTTGTGTGTTACTTGGACACAAGCAGCTTCAGCATCAGATGGCGTCGTTAATAATTCTGAGTCGGTGTTTTCAATCAACCAATTGAACGCCCAATTTGGGAAAATAATTTGGTTTATTTTTATATATATATATAATATGAGTTAATAATTATCCTGTATTGATATAATTTATATGATCATCTTATTTATTTAGTTTTATTTTTTTTATTAACCTGGATATTCAACCCGTTATACGAACCGACTAATCTCAGGGCGATCATCTGTTTTGCAGATAGTCCGGAGTCACCACATTTGAACCTCCGTGGCCACAAGGAGATTTTTATTTCTTCTTGGATTTGAACCTGAGACCTCCTGGTACTTTTAACATTTGGAGGCAAGCTCAAACCAATCAGGCACCACCCGTGTACTTTTGATCATCTTATTTATATCTATACTATATTATAAAACATTTGACAAAAACTCTTAAAAATCATTTTTTATGCATGAAGTACTGTATATTGATGCATATTACTTAAAATTCAAAATTACAAATAAATTATGCACATGTACAACTTATTAAAGCTCCATGTTTGAATTTGAATAACTAATTGTGGATAAACATAATTAAATAGAGGATAAAATCTCATTTTAAAATATAAAAAATCTAAAATATAATAAGGATAATAATCAAGTTCGAACAAAATAATTAATTATTATCTTTATAAGAAAATTATATTATGAAACTGAATATAAATTATTTCGTTATTGAAACTAAATTAAATTGTAATAAAAAAAATTGAATTAAAAATTACACCAAAAAGTGAGAAATTTCAAATAGTTAATTTAATATTAATATCGTATTATTTTTGTCAAAAATTTATATTTTATTAAAAAAATAAAAACATTATCGTTTTTACAAGTCACATAAGACCATATAATAACATCGACCAAAATAAAGAATAAAATGAAATATTAAAATCAAGATGTATCTCGCTGCATTGCGCGAGTACTATTCTAGTTATATTATAAAACATTTGACAAAAACTTTTAAAAACCATTTTTTATGCACGAGATATTGTTTATTGATACATATTACTTAAAATTTAAGATTACAAGTATATATACTATATTATAAAGCATTTGACAAAAACTCTTAAAAACCATTTTTTTATGCACGAGGTATTGTTTATTAATGCATATTACTTAAAATTTAAGATTACAAGTAAATTGTGCATAAGTACAATTTATTAAAGCTTCATATTTGAATTCGTGTAACTAATTGCAGATAAACATAATCAAATATTAGATAAACATCTCATTTTAAATATATAAATCTAAAATATAATTAGGATAACCACCGAGTTCTAACATAATATTTTAGTTATTATCTTTATAAAAAAATTATATTATTAAATCTAAATTAAATTTCTTTGTTAACAAACCTAAATTAAATTATAATTGAAAATTTTAATTAAGGAAATTACACCAAAACACAATAACTTTTAATATATACTATATTATAAAGCATTTAACAAAAACTCTTAAAAACTATTTTTTATGCACGAGTTACTGTTTATTGATGCATTTTACTTAAAATTTAAGATTACAAGTAATTGTGCATAAGTATAACTTATTAAAGTTCCATATTTGAATTCGTGTAACTAATTGCAGATAAACATAATCAAATATTGGATAAACACCTCATTTTAAATATATAAATCCAAAATATAATTAGGATAACCACTGAGTACTATCAAAAGATTTTAGTTATTATCTTTATAAAAAACTATATTATTAAACTTGAATTAAATTTCTTTGTTACTAAACCTAAATTAAATTTTAATTGAAAATTTGAATTAAGGAAATTACACCAAAACACAAAAACTTTTAAAAAGGTTAATTTGATACTGATATCGATATATTTTTTTTTCAAAATTTTATAATATTTTCAAATTTATATCTTATTCAAAGATAAAAACATTATCGTTTTCTCTCAAAACCACATAAACCCGTATTATATCGACATAAAAAAGGAATAAAACGAAATATTGAAATCAAGATGTATCTCGATGAATTACACGAGTACCCTTTCTAGTATCTTAAAAGAATTGTTCCGTATTATTATAATTCAATAATTATTTTATATTTTATTAAATTTTAAAAACTTTTATGTATACAATAATTATTTATGAACTTGAAATTCAAAAATTAAATAATACTTCAATGTTTGACATAGTTGTTTTTAAAACTTTCACTTTGTAGTATAGTACGGTTTGGTTGAAGGTTGCTTTGAATGACAAGTAAAGATGGCAAAACATCTTCCAGTTTGGGTCAGGGCAAGGGCTTGTTAGCATAGAGACTGATTTTCAAGATCTTTTAAGAGTTAAATATCATGAGAATGTATAACTAAACTGATATATGAATCATTAAAAAATATCAATTTGAAGATGCATATGCGATCAATATGAATAAATTTGTAACTTCCTTCGCATATGCATCTTTAAATAATCTCTTCGAGATTTTTCCAATGAATTCAAATATGAACATTCGTTTATTACTTTTCTACAAAATTATAAAATAAAGTTTTTAAGATTTTTAATGTAAAATTGTGCATGTAATATTTAAAATATATTTCAATGCTTGGTTTTAAAAATCATAATATATGAACTTGTATAACATTTTTTTAATAAATACATATTTTTCGAAAATCAGGTCGAGCCCAGGATCAATCCAACAACTTTTTACTAGGACCGATCAACCTGATTATACTCCAAACACTTAGGGGGCGTTTGATTTGCAGGATTCCGATGGAATCTAATGGAATTGAAATAGTCAATTATGTCGACCAAATCTAATTCAGACGTTTGGTTTACCCACATAATGGAATTGAATTCCACACATTCCCTCATATATGGATTTGGTCATTTCTTCATAAAAAGAGGTGAAATTGAAATCCATTCCCACCAAAACTTCTAAAATGACAAAGATACCTTCATCAAATCATAAAAATCTAGCGGTCTCATGCTCTTATTCATGTTTTATCCATTGTTTGAAAAGTCTCACATTAATAGTCGTCTTGGCGTGCCGTGACTCAAGGCTTGTATTCCACGTCATGTTAAGCCTGAAGCATGTTATGGCATAATGTGCGGTTTTTGTAATACAATATTTGATTTTACATATTCTTTAATGTCTTATATGTTAATTTTTAATATATATAATTTAATTTAAATTGTTTATTATCATTGATTCATTGAGTAGTTAGAGAAAACATATGTTTACGTATGTATTATTTTATAGATATAGAGATTTGTTGCCATAAGTCACGGCTTGAAAAACGTCGTGACTTCGTCATGGCTTCCCAGGCTTGAGGCTTGAGGCTTGGGCTCGTCGCCACACCATACCTCACACTATTTGAAACTTTGGTTTTATCATATCCAACTTTTGCTTCATCTTCAAGATCGATCAACCTCTTGGACGTTTTCTCACGATCGACTTTGGCTTCATCATCTTCAATATCGACCAGACATGTAATTGAAATTCATTCCACCAACTTTTGCTTCACGTTTTCTCACAATCCACTTTTGCTTCATCTTCATGATCGACCATTTTCCTTTTCTATTTTGCTCACGATCGACCAAACTGCTATCTGCCTATCTCCTTCTTGATTAGGGGTTACGACCAGTGGCGGATGCAGAAAAATATATTGTAGGGGGCCCAATTTACGAATCTAACCCCTTAAAAAATCTTTCCATTTTTTCTAGCAATAGCAATAACAAGATAAAAAATCAATGGTTTATCATGTTAGTTTCAAGTATAAATAATAAAGGAATCGATGTGCCGTGAGCGTCTGTGTGGAGTGTGGACTAGAGATGGCCAAAAATCGGTCCCGGGCCGGGCCTTAACCGGTTACGGCCGGGCCTAATCGTGACAAAAACCGGCGTTAACCGGTCCCTCCATAACCGGTCCCGGTCCCGGTCCCGGTCCCG